AAGACCAGGAGAGGGGAAGTCCACAACAGCCTACATGGCTCTCAAAAACCTTGATAGTCAGGGGAGACAAGTATACCAAGTGGAGTCGCCAGAAGAATACAGCGAGGTCATAATGGCCTGCAAGAACCCTGTAATCATGTTAGATGACATATTCGGTGATCTGGAATTCGATGCAGCTGAGTGGGCAAAGTGGAGACCACGTCTACGACCTATGGTGGATGTTAAACATCCTGACACATATGCAGATAAAGATGTTTTGGGCATTTCTACTAAAAGTGAGAAGGTTTCAGAGATGACAAAAGTTGATCAAACGGAGGTGAAACGAGAAACTATCATTATCCTCGTAGGTCGTGACTATGTGCTGAAATCCTCATTGGCAGACTTGGGAAGGATGGCAGATTACATTTCGAGTCCCCAATATGTGGTGGAAGTTTCCTCACAGAGAACCTCTTATGAGCGAAGGAAGATATGGCGTGTTCATTCTGAAGCAAAAAACATAGACATCGAAGAGTCAACTGTGTCTCAGATATATGAAGCAGACTGTCCACACGGCTTCCCCCATGTCTGTAAAATGTTTATCACAGCATATGAAAAGGATTGGACTCACTTTCAAATGCAAATGTTTTTTCAAGCGCCACTGGATTTCCTCAGCAAAACTTTGAATAGACATTTGACAGATAAGATAAAGCGTTCACTGTTCATGGCTATGATTAAAAGAGATGGAAAGATTAGTGGACAAGAAATGGAGGAGGATGAAAACTTCGGTTATGAATACATAGCAGCTGCTGATAATATGGTTGGATCTTACCTCAAGAAGGAAGATGACACCTACGTGTTTGATCATCCGTCTATATATGACAGTGTTTCCTTTATTCTCAGTACAAAACAACCAAAGTTTGTCATTGAAAATTGTAGTTTGCCCTTTATAAATCAGCGACTTCGTCTTACGCCCTCCAGTAAAGAGAAAAAAGAGAAAAACGTTGCTGGTGAGACAGATCTTGTTGCAAACGTCTCATGGACTTATGCTAAACTTTTGGCCAGAAGATTTGCAAGTGAAATGCAACGGAGCAATTTGTCGCATGTTTTATCACACCAGTCACTTTGTTATTCAGACTTTGTCGACTTGCTAATGGACTGCCTGAAGACCCGGTTTCACATGGGTGCATCTGACATTGTGAAACTAACTGATAACTCATCAAACAAGTCATTTAGTGAATTACTTTCCAGCAACAAGTCACATCATCTCATCAAATATATGATGGAGACAGAAAATATCTCATTCACCAAGAGTGAAGGTAGGGACATGTTACTGGGTGTGTGTACGAATGCTGCATGCGGTATACTGAAATACATCAGTGGACATATGAAACTTGAGGTAAATGCTACATACGGTCCGTTTGAAAAGACGCCGCTTATGTTGGCAGCAGAAACCAGGGACAGTGAGTTTGTCAATCAGATTTTGTCTCTAGACCCCAACCTAAATGCAACAGACATTCGAGGCCAAACTGTTTTTAGTTATCTTTGTGAAAATGGCCTTACATCAGCTGTGAAGCATGCGATTAACAAGGGAGTGGAAGTTAATCAGTATCGTGGACCCAGTGTGTACACTGTCATATTGAAAGGTCACTTAGAGGTTGTGGAACTATTGGTTAACAGAGGATATGATGTAGAAAACCAGACAGGTCTTACATGTGCTGCATGTAGCCTGAACGCGAACATGGTACGTTATTTTTTAGACAGAGGAGCAGTGGTTGACGGCAGTGCTGTGGGCAGAACTTGTGAGGTCGGGAACAGAAATATAGTTGAGATGTTGTTTGAGAAGGGTGCTACTGTTGATATGGTGTCACCTGATGGAAGATCTCCTCTTCTCAGTGCATGTAATGGAAACCCAGCAGTTGTCTCGTATTTGCTGAAGAAAGGAGCAAGTGTCAACCAAGCTTCAAATGTTACAGGTGACACGCCACTTCATATAGCAGCAGCAATATGGGGATCTACAGAGTGTGTTGATTTGTTACTGAAGGCTGGAGCTGATGTAAATGTACAGAATAATACAGGTGACACACCACTTCATGTACCAACAGGATGGGGATGTCCAGACTGTGTTGATGTGTTACTGAAGGCTGGAGCTGATGTTAATGTACAGAATAATACAGGTGACACACCACTTAATAGAGCAGCTGCACAAGATTGGGAATCTACAGAGTGTGTTGACGTGTTACTGAAGGCTGGAGCTGATGTTAATGTACAGAATAATACAGGTGACACACCACTTCATACAGCAGCAATATCCAAATCTACAGAGTTTGTTGATGTGTTACTGAAGGCTGGAGCTGTTGTTAATGTACAGAATGATACAGGTAACATACCACTTCACATAGCAGCAGTGTGGGGATCTACAGAGTGTGTTGATATGTTACTGAAGGCTGGAGCTGATGTTAATGTACAGAATAAAAGAGGTGACACACCACTTCATATAGCAGCATTAGTACGCGGATCTACAGAGTGTGTTGATGTGTTACTGAAGGCTGGAGCTGATGTTAATGTACAGAATAATACAGGTTACACACCACTTCATACAGCAGGAGCAGCAGGACGGGGATCTACAGAGTGTGTTGATGTGTTACTGAAGGCTGGAGCTGATGTTAATATACAGAATAATACAGGTGACACACTACTTCATACAGCAGTAATATGGGGATTTACTGAGTGTGTTGATGTGTTAGTGAAGGCTGGAGCAGATGTTAATGTACAAAAAAATACAGGTGACACACCACTTCATAAAGCAGCAGGACGGGGATCTACAGAGTGTGTTGATGTGTTACTGAAGGCTGGAGCTGATGTTAATGTACAGAATAAAACAGGTGACACACCACTTCATACAACAGAAGCAATATGGGGATTTACTGAGTGTGTTGATGTGTTAGTGAAGGCTGGAGCAGATGTTAATATACAGAATAATACAGGTGACACACCACTTCATATAGCAGCAGGAGAGGGATCTACTGAGTGTGTTGATGTGTTACTAAAGGCTGGAGCTGATGTTAATGTACAGAATAATACAGGTGACACACCACTTCATACAGCAGCAGCAATATGGGGATCTTCTGAGTGTTTTGATGTGTTAGTGAAGGCTGGAGCTTATGTTAATATACAGAATAATACAGGTGACACACCACTTCATACAGCAGCCGGACAGGGATCTACAGAGTGTGTTGATGTGTTACTGAAGGCTGGAGCTGATGTTAATGTACAGAATAATACAGGTGACACACAACTTCATATAGCAGCAGGAGTGAGATCTACAGAGTGTGTTGATGTGTTACTGATGGCTGGAGCTGATGTTAATGTACAGAAAAATACAGGTGACACACAACTTCATACAGCAGCAGCAATATGGAAATCTACAGAGTGTGTTATGGGGTTACTGAAGGCTGGAGCTGATGTCAATGTACAGAATAATACAGGTGACACACCACTTCATATGGCAGCAGGACTGAGATCTACAGAGTGTGTTGATGTGTTACTGATGGCTGGAGTTGATGTTAATGTACAGAAAAATACAGGTGACACACAACGTCATACATCAGCAGCAATATTGGGATCTACAGAGTGTGTTGATGTGTTACTGAAGGCTGGAGCTGATGTTAATGTACAGAATAATACAGGTGACACGCCACTTCATACAGCAGCCGGATCTACAGAGTGTGTTGATGTGTTACTGAAGGCTGGAGCTGATGGTAATGTACAGAATAATACAGGTGACACACCACTTCATATAGCAGCAGGAGTGAGATCTACAGAGTGTGTTGATGTGTTACTGATGGCTGGAGCTGATGTTAATGTACAGAATAATACAGGTGACACACCACTTCATACAGCAGCCGGACAGGGATCTACAGAGTGTGTTGATGTGTTGCTTAAGGCTGGAGCTGATGGTAATGTACAGAATAATACAGGTAACACACCACTTCATATAGCAGCAGGAGTGAGATCTACAGAGTGTGTTGATGTGTTACTGATGGCTGGAGCTGATGTTAATGTACAGACTAATACAGGTGACACACCACTTCATACAGCAGCCGGATCTACAGAGTGTGTTGATGTGTTAGTGAAGGCTGGAGCTGATGTCAATGTACAGAATAATACAGGTGACACACCACTTCATATAGCAGCAGGAGTGAGATCTACAGAGTGTGTTGATGTGTTACTGATGGCTGGAGCTGATGTTAATGTACAGACTAATACAGGTGACACACCACTTCATATAGCAGCAGGACGGGATTCTACAGAGTGTGTTGATGTGTTACTGATGGGTGGAGCTGATGTTAATAAACGGAATAATACAGGTGACACACCACTTCATATAGCAGCAGGACGGGGATGTACAGAGTGTGTTGATGTGTTACTGATGGCTGGAGCTGATGTTAATGTACAGAATAATACAGGTGACACACCACTTCATATAGCAGCAGGACGGGGATCTACAGAGTGTGTTGATGTGTTACTGATGGCTGGAGGTGATGTTAATGTACAGAATAATACAGGTGACACTCCACTTCAGATAGCAGCAGGAGTGGGATCTACAGACAGTGTTGATGTGTTACTGATGGCTGGAGCTGATCTTATTGGCTCAGAATAATACAGGTGACACACCACTTCATATAGCAGCAATACGGGGATCTACAGAGTGTGTTGATGTGTTACTGAATTTAAGAGGTGATGTTAATGTACATAATAATACAGGTGACACACCACTTCATAGTGCAGCCATTTGGGGATCTACAGAGTGTGTTGATGTGTTACTGAAGGCTGGAGCTAATGTTAATGTACAGAATAATACAGATGACACACCACTTCATATAGAAGCAATACGGGGATCTACAGAGTGTGTTGATGTGTTACTGAAGTCTAGAGGTGATGTTAATGTACACAATAATACAGGTAACACACCACTTCATAGAGCAGCCATGTGGGGATCTACAGAGTGTGTTGATGTGTTACTGAAGGCTGGAGCTAATGTTAATATACAGAATAATACAGGTGACACACCACTTCATAGATCAGCCACGTGGGGATCTACAGAGTGTGTTGATGTGTTACTGAAGGCTGGAGCTGATGTTACTATACAGAATAATACAGGTGACACACAACTTCATACAGCAGAAGCAATATGGGGATCTACAGAGTGTGTTGATGTGTTATTGATGGCTGGAGCTGATGTTAATGGCACAGAATTATACAGGTGACACACCACTTCATACAGCATCAGCAATATGGGGATCTACAGAGTGTGTTGATGTGTTACTGAAGTCTAGAGGTGATGTTAATGTACAGAATAATACAGGTGACACACGACTTCATATAGCAGCCACGTGGGGATCTACAGAGTGTGTTGATGTGTTAATGAGGTGTAGAGGTGATGTTAATGTACAGAATAATACAGGTAACACACCACTTCATAGAGTAGCCTTGTGGGGATCTACAGAGTGTGTTGATGTGTTACTTAAGGCTGGAGCTGATGGTAATGTACAGAATAATACAGGTGACACACCACTTCATAGAGCAGCCATGTGGGGATCTACAGAGTGTGTTGATGTGTTACTGAAGGCTGGAGCTGATGTTAATGTACAGAATAATACAGGTAACACACCGCTTCATATAGCAGCATTAGTACGGGGATGTACAGAGTGTGTTGATGTGTTACTGAAGGCTGGAACTGATGATAATGTACCGAAAAATACAGGTGAGACACAACGTCATACAGCAGCAGCAATATGGGGATCTACAGAGTGTGTTGATGTGTTACTGATGGCTGGAGCTGATGTTAATGTACAGAATAATACAGGTGTCACGCCACTTCATACAGCAGCCGGATCTACAGAGTGTGTTGATGTGTTACTGAAGGCTGGAGCTGATGGTAATGTACAGAATAATACAGGTGACACACCACTTCATATAGCAGCAGGAGTGAGATCTACAGAGTGTGTTGATGTGTTACTGATGGCTGGAGCTGATGTTAATGTACAGACTAATACAGGTGACACACCACTTCATATAGCAGCAGGACGGGATTCTACAGAGTGTGTTGATGTGTTACTGATGGCTGGAGCTGATATTAATAAACAGAATAATACAGGTGACACACCACTTCATATAGCAGCAGGACGGGGATCTACAGAGTGTGTTGATGTGTTACTGATGGCTGGAGCTGATGTTAATGTACAGAAAAATACAGGTGACACACCACTTCATACAGCAGCCGGACAGGGATCTACGGAGTGTGTTGATGTGTTACTTAAGGCTGGAGCTGATGGTAATGTACAGAATAATACAGGTAACACACCACTTCATACAGCAGCAGGAGTGAGATCTACAGAGTGTGTTGATGTGTTACTGATGGCTGGAGCTGATGTTAATGTACAGACTAATACAGGTGACACACCACTTCATATAGCAGCAGGACGGGATTCTACAGAGTGTGTTGATGTGTTACTGATGGCTGGAGCTGCTGTTAATAAACAGAATAATACAGGTGACACACCACTTCATATAGCAGGAGGACGGGGATCTACAGAGTGTGTTGATGTGTTACTGATGGCTGGAGCTGATGTTAATGTACAGAATAATACAGGTGACACACCACTTCATATAGCAGCAGGACGGGGATCTACAGAGTGTGTTGATGTGTTAGTGATGGCTGGAGGTGATGTTAATGTACAGAATAATACAGGTGACACTCCACTTCAGATAGCAGCAGGAGTGAGATCTACAGAGTGTGTTGATGTGTTACTGATGGCTGGAGCTGATCGTATTCGCTCAGAATAATACAGGTGACACACCACTTCATATAGCAGCAATACGGGGATCTACAGAGTGTGTTGATGTGTTACTGAAGTCAAGAGGTGATGTTAATGTTCATAATAATACAGGTGACACACCACTTCATAGTGCAGCCATTTGGGGATCTACAGAGTGTGTTGATGTGTTACTGAAGTCTAGAGGTGATGTTAATGTACAGAATAATACAGGTAACACACCACTTCATATAGTAGCAATACGGGGATCTAGAGAGTGTGTTGATGTGTTACTGAAGTCTAGAGGTGATGTTAATGTACAGAATAATACAGGTAACTCACCACTTCATAGAGCAGCCATGTGGGATCTACAGAGTGTGTTGATGTGTTACTGAAGGCTGGAGCTAATGTTAATATACGGAATAATACAGGTGACACACCACTTCATAGATCAGCCACGTGGGGATCTACAGAGTGTGTTGATGTGTTACTGAAGGCTGGAGCTGATGTTAGTATACAAAATAATACAGGTGACACACAACTTCATACAGCAGAAGCAATATGGGGATCTACAGAGTGTGTTGATGTGTTATTGATGGCTGGAGCTGATGTTAATGGCACAGAATTATACAGGTGACACACCACTTCAAACAGCATCAGTAATATGGGGATCTACAGAGTGTGTTGATGTGTTACTGAAGTCTAGAGGTGATGTTAATGTACAGAATAATACAGGTGACACACCACTTCACAGAGCAGCAGGACGGGGATCTACAGAGTGTGTTGATGTGTTACTGAAGGCTGGAGCTGATGTTAATGTACAGAATAATACAGGTAACACACCGCTTCATATAGCAGCATTAGTACGGGGATCTACAGAGCGTGTTGATGTGTTACTGAAGGCTGGAACTGATGTTAATGTACAGAATAATACAGGTGACACACCACTTCATATAGCAGCAGGAGTGAGATCTACAGAGTGTGTTGATGTGTTACTGATGGCTGGAGCTGATGTTAATGTACAGAATAATACAGGTGACACACCACTTCATATAGCAACAAACTTGGTATCTAGAGAGTGTATTCCTGTGTTACTGAAGGCTGGAGCTGATGTTATTGGTACAGAATAATACAGGTAACACGCCACTTCATACAGCAGCAACAATATGGGGACCTACAGAGTGTGTTGATGTGTTACTGTAGGCTGGAGCTGATGTTAATGGCACAGAATAATACAGGTGACACACCACTTCATACAGCAGCAGCAATATGGGGATCTACAGGGTGTGTAAATGTGTTACTGAAGGCTGGAGCTGATGTTAATGGTACAGAATAATACAGGTGACACACCGCTTCATATAGCAGCAGGACGGGGATCTACAGAGTGTGTTGATGTGTTACTGAAGGCTGGAGCTGATGTTAATGTACAGAATAATACAGGTGACACACAACATCATACAACAGCAGCAATATGGGGATCTACAGAGTGTGTTGATGTGTTCCTGAAGGCTGGAGCTGATGTTAATGGTACAGAATAATACAGGTGACACACCACTTCATAGAGCAGCCATGTGGGGATCTACAGAGTGTGTTGATGTGTTACTGAAGGCTGGAGCTAATATTTATATACAGAATAATACAGGGGACACACCACTTCATAGAGCAGCCATGTGGGGATCTACAGAGTGTGTTGATGTGTTACTGAAGTCTAGAGGTGATGTTAATGTACAGAATAATACAGGTAACACACCACTTCATAGAGCAGCCATGTGGGGATCTACAGAGTGTGTTGATGTGTTACTGAAGTCTAGAGGTGATGTTAATGTACAGAATAATACAGGTGACACACCACTTCATACAGCGGCAATATGGGGACCTACAGAGTGTGTTGATGTGTTACTGAAGGCTGCAGCTGATGTTAATGGCACAGAAAAATACAGGTGACACTCCACTTCAGATAGCAGCAGGAGTGAGATCTACAGAGTGTGTTGATGTGTTACTGAAGGCTGGAGCTGATGTTAACGTACAGAATAATACAGGTGACACACCACTTCATACAGCAGCAGCAATATGGGGATCTACAGAGTGTGTTGATGTGTTACTGAAGGCTGGAGCTGATGTTAATGGTACAGAATAATACAGGTGACACACCGCTTCATATAGCAGCAGGACGGGGATCTACAGAGTGTGTTGATGTGTTACTGAAGGCTGGACCTGATGTCAATATACAGAATAATACAGGTGACACACAACATCATACAGCAGCAGCAATATGGGGATGTACAGAGTGTGTTGATGTGTTACTGAAGTCTAGAGGTGATGTTAATTTACAGAATAATACAGGTGACACACCACTTCATAGAGCAGCCATTTGGGGATCTACAGAGTGTGTTGATGTGTTACTGAAGTCTAGAGGTGATGTTAATGGTACAGAATAATACAGGTGCAACACCACTTCATATAGCAACAGGGCGGGGATCTACAGAGTGTGTTGATGTGTTACTGATGGCTGGAGCTTATGTTAATGTACAGAATAATACAGGTGACATTCCACTTCATATAGCAGCAGGAGTGAGATCTACAGAGTGTGTTGATGTGTTACGGATGGCTGGAGATGATGTTAATGTACAGAATAATACAGGTGACACACCACTTCATATAGCAACAAACTTGGTATCTAGAGAGTGTATTGCTGTGTTACTGAAGCCTGGAGCTGATGTTAATGTCACAGAATAATACAGGTGACACACCACTTCATACAGCAGCAGCTATAAGGCGATCTACAGAGTGTGTTGATGTGTTACTGAAGGCTGGAGCTGATGTTAATGGTACAGAATAATACAGGTGACACACCGCTTCATAGAGCGGCAGGACGGGGATCTACAGAGTGTGTTGATGTGTTACTGAAGGCTGGAGCTGATGTTAATGTACAGAATAATACAGGTGACACACAACATCATACAACAGCAGCAATATCGGGATCTACAGAGTGTGTTGATGTGTTACTGAAGGCTGGAGCTGATGTTAATGGTACAGAATAATACAGGTGACACTCCACTTCAGATAGCAGCAGGAGTGGGATCTACAGAGTGTGTTGATGTGTTACTGAATGCTGGAGCTGATGTTAATGGTACAGAATAATACAGGTGACACACCACTTCATAGAGCAGCCATGTGGGGATCTACAGAGTGTGTTGATGTGTTACTGAAGGCTGGAGCTAATATTTATATACAGAATAATACAGGTGACACACCACTTCATAGAGCAGCCATGTGGGGATCTACAGTGTGTGTTGATGTGTTACTGAAGTCTAGAGGTGATGTTAATGTACAGAATAATACAGGTGACACACCACTTTATAGAGCAGCCATGTGGGGATCTACAGAGTGTGTTGATGTGTTACTGAAGTCTAGAGGTGATGTTAATGTACAGAATAATACAGGTGACACACCACTTCATACAGCAGCAATATGGGTGACCTACAGAGTGTGTTGATGTGTTACTGAAGGCTGGAGCTGATGTTAATGGTACAGAATAATACAGGTGACACACCGCATCATATAGCGGCAGGACGGGGATCTACAGAGTGTGTTGATGTTTTACTGAAGGCTGGAGCTGATGTTAATGTACAGAATAATACAGGTGACACACAACATCATACAGCAGCAGCAATATGGGGATCTACAGAGTGTGTTGATGTGTTACTGAAGGCTGGAGCTGATGTTAATGGTACAGAATAATACAGGTGACACACCGCTTCATATAGCAGCAGGACGGGGATCTACAGAGTGTGTTGATGTGTTACTGAAGGCTGGAGGTGATGTCAATATACAGAATAGTACAGGTGACACACAACTTCATACAGCAGCAGCAATATGGGGATGTACAGAGTGTGTTGATGTGTTACTGAAGTCTAGAGGTGATGTTAATGTACAGAATAATACAGGTGACACACCACTTCATAGAGCAGCCATTTGGGGATCTACAGAGTGTGTTGATATGTTACTGAAGTCTAGAGGTGATGTTAATGTACAGAATAATACAGGTGACACACCACTTCATACAGCAGCAATATGGGTGACCTACAGAGTGTGTTGATGTGTTACTGTAGGCTGGAGCTGATGTTAATGGCACAGAATAATACAGGTGACACACCACTTCATACAGCAGCAGCAATATGGGGATCTACAGAGTGTGTTGATGTGTTACTGAAGGCTGGAGCTGATGTTAATGTACAGAATAATACAGGTGACACACAACATCATACAGCAGCAGCAATATGGGGATGTACAGAGTGTGTTGATGTGTTACTGAAGACTAGAGGTGATGTTAATTTACAGAATAATACAGGTGACACACCACTTCATAGAGCAGCCATTTGGGGATCTACAGAGTGTGTTGATGTGTTACTGAAGTCTAGAGGTGATGTTAATGTACAGAATAATACAGGTGCAACACCACTTCATATAGCAACAGGGCGGGGATCTACAGAGTGTGTTGATGTGTTACTGATGGCTGGAGCTTATGTTAATGTACAGAATAATACAGGTGACCCTCCACTTCATATAGCAGCAGGAGTGAGATCTACAGAGTGTGTTGATGTGTTACTGAAGGCTGGAGCTAATGTTAATATACGGAATAATACAGGTGACACACCACTTCATAGATCAGCCACGTGGGGATCTACTGAGTGTGTTGATGTGTTACTGAAGGCTGGAGCTGATGTTACTATACAGAATAACACAGGTGACACACAACTTCATACAGCAGAAGCAATATGGGGATCTACAGAGTGTGTTGATGTGTTATTGATGGCTGGAGCTGATGTTAATGTACAGAATAATACAGGTGACACACCACTTCATATAGCAACAAACTTGGTATCTAGAGGGTGTATTGCTGTGTTACTGAAGGCTGGAGCTGATATTATTGGTACAGAATAATACAGGTAACACGCCACTTCATACAGCAGCAACAATATGGGGACCTACAGAGTGTGTTGATGTGTTACTGTAGGCTGGAGCTGATGTTAATGGCACAGAATAATACAGGTGACACACCACTTCATACAGCAGCAGCAATATGGGGATCTACAGAGTGTGTTGATGTGTTACTGAAGGCTGGAGCTGATGTTAATGGTACAGAATAATACAGGTGACACACCGCTTCATATAGCGGCAGGACGGGGATCTACAGAGTGTGTTGATGTGTTACTGAAGGCTGGAGCTGATGTTAATGTACAGAATAATACAGGTGACACACAACATCATACAACAGCAGCAATATGGGGATCTACAGAGTGTGTTGATGTGTTACTGAAGGCTGGAGCTAATGTTAACGTACAGAATAATACAGGTGACACACCACTTCATATAGCAACAAACTTGGAATCTACAGAGTGTATTGCTGTGTTACTGAAGGCTGGAGCTGATGTTAATGGTACAGAATAATACAGGTGACACACCGCTTCATATAGCAGCAGGACGGGGATCTACAGAGTGTGTTGATGTGTTACTGAAGGCTGGAGGTGATGTCAATATACAGAATAGTACAGGTGACACACAACTTCATACAGCAGCAGCAATATGGGGATGTACAGAGTGTGTTGATGTGTTACTGAAGTCTAGAGGTGATGTTAATGTACAGAATAAGACAGGTGACACACCACTTCATAGAGCAGCCATTTGGGGATCTACAGAGTGTGTTGATGTGTTACTGAAGTCTAGAGGTGATGTTAATGTACAGAATAACACCACTTCATATAGCAACAGGGCGGGAATCTACAGAGTGTGTTGATGTGTTACTGATGGCTGGAGCTTATGTTAATGTACAGAATAATACAGGTGACACACCACTTCATATAGCAGCAGGAGTGAGATCTACAGAGTGTGTTGATGTGTTACTGATGGCTGGAGCTGATGTTAATGTACAGAATAATACAGGTGACACACCACTTCATATAGCAACAAACTTGGTATCTAGAGAGTGTATTGCTGTGTTACTGAAGGCTGGAGCTGATGTTATTGGTACAGAATAATACAGGTAACACGCCACTTCATACGGCAGCAACAATATGGGGACCTACAGAGTGTGTTGATGTGTTACTGTAGGCTGGAGCTGATGTTAATGGCACAGAATAATACAGGTGACACACCACTTCATAGAGGAGCCATGTGGGGATCTACAGATTGTGTTGATGTGTTACTGAACTCTAGAGGTGATGTTAATGTACAAAATAATACAGGTGACACACCACTTCATACAGCAGCAATATGGGGATCTACAGAGTGTGTTGATGTGTTACTCAAGGCTGGAGCTGATGTTAATGGTACAGAACAATACAGGTGACACACCGCTTCATATAGCGGCAAGACGGGGATCTACAGAGTGTGTTGATGTGTTACTGAAGGCTGGAGGTGATGTCAATATACAGAATAATACAGGTGACACACAACTGTATACAGCAGCAGCAATATGGGGATGTACAGAGTGTGTTGATGTGTTACTGAAGTGTAGAGGTGATGTTAATGTACAGAATAATACAGGTGACACACAACATCATACAGCAGCAGCAATATGGGGATCTACAGAGTGTGTTGATGTGTTACTGAAGGCTGGAGCTGATGTTAAGGTACAGAATAATACAGGTGACACACCACTTCTTATAGCAACACACTTGGAATCTACAGAGTGTATTGCTGTGTTATTGAAGGCTGGAGCTGATGTTAATGGTACAGAATAATACAGGTGACACACCACTTCATACAGCAGCAATATGGGGACCTACAGAGTGTGTTGATGTGTTACTGAAGGCTGGAGCTGATGTTAATGGTAGAGAACAATACAGGTGACACACCGCTTCATATAGCAGCAGGACGGGGATCTACAGAGTGTGTTGATGTGTTACTGAAGGCTGGAGCTGATGTTAACGTACAGAATAATACAGGTGACACACCACTTCATAGAGCAGCCATGTGGGGATCTACAGAGTGTGTTGATGTGTTACTGAAGGCTGGAGCTGATGTTAATGTACAGAATAATACAGGTAACACACCGCTTCATATAGCAGCATTAGTACGGGGATCTATAGAGTGTGTTGATGTGTTACTGAATGCTGGAGCTGATGTTAATGTACAGAATAATACAGGTGACACACCACTTCATACAGCAGCAATATGGGGACCTACAGAGTGTGTTGATGTGTTACTGAAGGCTGGAGCTGATGTTAATGGTACAGAATAATACAGGTGACACTCCACTTCAGATAACAGCAGGAGAGATCTACAGAGTGTGTTGATGTGTTACTGAAGGCTGGAGCTGATGTTAATGGTACAGAATAATACAGGTGACACACCACTTCATAGAACAGCCATGTGGGGATCTACAGAGTGTGTTGATGTGTTACTGATGGCTGGAGCTGATGTTAATGTACAGAATAATACAGGTGACACACCACTTCATATAGCAACAAACTTGGTATCTAGAGAGTGTATTGCTGTGTTACTGAAGGCTGGAGCTGATGTTATTGGTACAGAATAATACAGGTAACACGCCACTTCATACGGCAGCAACAATATGGGGACCTACAGAGTGTGTTGATGTGTTACTGTAGGCTGGAGCTGATGTTAATGGCACAGAATAATACAGGTGACACACCACTTCATAGAGGAGCCATGTGGGGATCTACAGATTGTGTTGATGTGTTACTGAACTCTAGAGGTGATGTTAATGTACAAAATAATACAGGTGACACACCACTTCATACAGCAGCAATATGGGGATCTACAGAGTGTGTTGATGTGTTACTCAAGGCTGGAGCTGATGTTAATGGTACAGAACAATACAGGTGACACACCGCTTCATATAGCGGCAAGACGGGGATCTACAGAGTGTGTTGATGTGTTACTGAAGGCTGGAGGTGATGTCAATATACAGAATAATACAGGTGACACACAACTGTATACAGCAGCAGCAATATGGGGATGTACAGAGTGTGTTGATGTGTTACTGAAGTGTAGAGGTGATGTTAATGTACAGAATAATACAGGTGACACACAACATCATACAGCAGCAGCAATATGGGGATCTACAGAGTGTGTTGATGTGTTACTGAAGGCTGGAGCTGATGTTAAGGTACAGAATAATACAGGTGACACACCACTTCTTATAGCAACACACTTGGAATCTACAGAGTGTATTGCTGTGTTATTGAAGGCTGGAGCTGATGTTAATGGTACAGAATAATACAGGTGACACACCACTTCATACAGCAGCAATATGGGGACCTACAGAGTGTGTTGATGTGTTACTGAAGGCTGGAGCTGATGTTAATGGTAGAGAACAATACAGGTGACACACCGCTTCATATAGCAGCAGGACGGGGATCTACAGAGTGTGTTGATGTGTTACTGAAGGCTGGAGCTGATGTTAACGTACAGAATAATACAGGTGACACACCACTTCATAGAGCAGCCATGTGGGGATCTACAGAGTGTGTTGATGTGTTACTGAAGGCTGGAGCTGATGTTAATGTACAGAATAATACAGGTAACACACCGCTTCATATAGCAGCATTAGTACGGGGATCTATAGAGTGTGTTGATGTGTTACTGAATGCTGGAGCTGATGTTAATGTACAGAATAATACAGGTGACACACCACTTCATACAGCAGCAATATGGGGACCTACAGAGTGTGTTGATGTGTTACTGAAGGCTGGAGCTGATGTTAATGGTACAGAATAATACAGGTGACACTCCACTTCAGATAACAGCAGGAGAGATCTACAGAGTGTGTTGATGTGTTACTGAAGGCTGGAGCTGATGTTAATGGTACAGAATAATACAGGTGACACACCACTTCATAGAACAGCCATGTGGGGATCTACAGAGTGTGTTGATGTTTTACTGAAGGCTGGAGCTAATATTTATATACAGAATAATACAGGTGACACACCACTTCATAGAGCAGCCATGTGGGGATCTACAGTGTGTGTTGATGTGTTACTGAAGTCTAGAGGTGATGTTAATGTACAGAATAATACAGGTGACACACCACTTCATAGAGCAGCCATGTGGGGATCTACAGAGTGTGTTGATGTGTTACTGAAGTCTAGAGGTGATGTTAAAGTACAGAATAATACAGGTGACACACCACTTGATACAGCAGCAATATGGGGATGTACAGAGTGTGTTGATGTGTTACTGTAGGCTGGAGCTGATGTTAATGACACAGAATAATACAGGTGACACACAACTTTATACAGCAGCAGCAATATGGGGATGTACAGAATGTGTTGATGTGTTACTGAAGTGTAGAGGTGATGTTAATGTAAAGAATAATACAGGTGACACACCACTTCATAGAGGAGCCATTTGGGGATCTACAGAGTGTGTTGATGTGTTACTGAAGGCTGGAGCTGATGTTAATGGTACAGAATAATACAGGTGACACACCGCTTCATATAGCGGCATGACGGGGATCTACAGAGTGTGTTGATGTGTTACTGAAGGCTGGAGCTGATGTTAATGTACAGAATAATACAGGTGACACACAACATCATACAGCAGCAGCAATATGGGGATGTACAGAGTGTGTTGATGTGTTACTGAAGGCTGGAGCTGATGTTAACGTACAGAATAATACAGGTGACACACCACTTAATATAGCAACACACTTGGAATCTACAGAGTGTATTGCTGTGTTACTGAAGGCTGGAGCTGATGTTAATGGTACAGAATAATACAGGTGACACACCACTTCATACAGCAGCAATATGGGGATCTACAGAGTGTGTTGATGTGTTACTGAAGGCTGGAGCTGATGTTAATGGTACAGAACAATACAGGTGACACACCGCTTCATATAGCAGCAGGACGGGGATCTACAGAGTGTGTTGATGTGTTACTGAAGGCTGGAACTGATGTTAATGTACAGAATAATACAGGTAACACACCACTTCATATAGCAGCATTAGAACGGGGATCTACAGAGTGTGTTGATGTGTTACTGAAGGCTGGAGCTGATGTTAATGTACAGAATAATACAGGTGACACACCACTTCATACAGCAGCAGCAATATGGGGATCTACAGTGTGTGTTGACGTGTTACTGAAGGCTGGAGCTGATGTTAATGGTAAAAAATAATACAGGTGACACACCACTTCATATAGCAACACACTTGGAATCTACAGAGTGTATTGCTGTGTTACTGAAGGCTGGAGCTGATGTTAATGGTACAGAATAATACAGGTGACACACCACTTCATAGAACAGCCATGTGGGGATTTACAGAGTGTGTTGATGTGTTACTGAAGGCTGGAGCTAATATTTATATACAGAATAATACAGGTGACACACCACTTCATAGAGCAGCCATGTGGGAATCTACAGTGTGTGTTGATGTGTTACTGAAGTCTAGAGGTGATGTTAATGTACAGAATAATACAGGTGACACACCACTTCATAGAGCAGCCATGTGGGGATCTACAGAGTGTGTTGATGTGTTACTGAAGTCTAAAGGTGATGTTAATGTACAGTATAATACAGGTGACACACCACTTGATACAGCAGCAATATGGGGACCTACAGAGTGTGTTGATGTGTTACTGTAGGCTGGAGCTGATGTTAATGGCACAGAATAATACAGGTGACACACCACTTCATACAGCAGCAGCAATATGGGGATCTACAGTGTGTGTTGACGTGTTACTGAAGGCTGGAGCTGATGTTAATGGTAAAAAATAATACAGGTGACACACCACTTCATATAGCAACACACTTGGAATCTACAGAGTGTATTGCTGTGTTACTGAAGGCTGGAGCTGATGTTAATGGTACAGAATAATACAGGTGACACACCACTTCATACAGCAGCAATATGGGGACCTACAGAGTGTATTGCTGTGTTACTGAAGGCTGGAGCTGATGTTAATGGTACAGAATAATACAGGTGACACACCACTTCATACAGCAGCAATATGGGGACCTACAGAGTGTGTTGATGTGTTACTGAAGGCTGGAACTGATGTTAATGTACAGAATAATACAGGTAACACACCGCTTCATATAGCAGCAGCAATATGGGGATCTACAGTGTGTGTTGACGTGTTACTGAAGGCTGGAGCTGATGTTAATGGTAAAAAATAATACAGGTGACACACCACTTCATATAGCAGCAGGACGGGGATCTACAGAGTGTGTTGATGTGTTACTGAAGGCTAAAGGTGATGTTAATGTACAGAAAAATACAGGTAACACACCACTTCATAGAGCAGCATGAGTGAGATCTACTGAGTGTGTTAAGGGGTTACTGAAGGCTGGAGCTGATGTTAATGGTACAGAATAATACAGGTGACACTCCACTTCAGATAGCAGCAGGAGTGAGATCTACAGAGTGTGTTGATGTGTTACTGAAGGCTGGAGCTGATGTTAATGGTAAAAAATAATACAGGTGACACACCACTTCATATAGCAACACACTTGGAATCTACAGAGTGTATTGCTGTGTTACTGAAGGCTGGAGCTGATGTTAATGGTACAGAATAATACAGGTGACACACCACTTCATACAGCAGCAATATGGGGACCTACAGAGTGTATTGCTGTGTTACTGAAGGCTGGAGCTGATGTTAATGGTACAGAATAATACAGGTGACACACCACTTCATACAGCAGCAATATGGGGACCTACAGAGTGTGTTGATGTGTTACTGAAGGCTGGAACTGATGTTAATGTACAGAATAATACAGGTAACACACCGCTTCATATAGCTGCAGCAATATGGGGATCTACAGTGTGTGTTGACGTGTTACTGAAGGCTGGAGCTGATGTTAATGGTAAAAAATAATACAGGTGACACACCACTTCATATAGCAGCAGGACGGGGATCTACAGAGTGTGTTGATGTGTTACTGAAGGCTAAAGGTGATGTTAATGTACAGAAAAATACAGGTAACACACCACTTCATAGAGCAGCATGAGTGAGATCTACTGAGTGTGTTAAGGGGTTACTGAAGGCTGGAGCTGATGTTAATGGTACAGAATAATACAGGTGACACTCCACTTCAGATAGCAGCAGGAGTGAGATCTACAGAGTGTGTTGATGTGTTACTGAAGGCTGGAGCTGATGTTAATGGTACAGAATAATACAGGTGACACACCACTTCATAGAACAGCCATGTGGGGATCTACAGAGTGTGTTGATGTGTTACTGAAGGCTGGAGCTAATATTTATATACAGAATAATACAGGTGACACACCACTTCATAGAGCAGCCATGTGGGAATCTACAGTGTGTGTTGATGTGTTACTGAAGTCTAGAGGTGATGTTAATGTACAGAATAATACAGGTGACACACCACTTCATAGAGCAGCCATGTGGGGATCTACAGAGTGTGTTGATGTGTTACTGAAGTCTAAAGGTGATGTTAATGTACAGTATAATACAGGTGACACACCACTTGATACAGCAGCAATATGGGGACCTACAGAGTGTGTTGATGTCTTACTGTAGGCTGGAGCTGATGTTAATGGCACAGAATAATACAGGTGACACACCACTTCATACAGCAGCAGCAATATGGGGATCTACAGTGTGTGTTGACGTGTTACTGAAGGCTGGAGCTGATGTTAATGGTAAAAAATAATACAGGTGACACACCACTTCATATAGCAACACACTTGGAATCTACAGAGTGTATTGCTGTGTTACTGAAGGCTGGAGCTGATGTTAATGGTACAGAATAATACAGGTGACACACCACTTCATACAGCAGCAATATTGGGACCTACAGAGTGTATTGCTGTGTTACTGAAGGCTGGAGCTGATGTTAATGGTACAGAATAATACAGGTGACACACCACTTCATACAGCAGCAATATGGGGACCTACAGAGTGTGTTGATGTGTTACTGAAGGCTGGAGCTGATGTTAATGGTACAGAACAATACAGGTGACACACCGCTTCATATAGCAGCAGGACGGGGATCTACAGAGTGTGTTGATGTGTTACTGAAGGCTGGAACTGATGTTAATGTACAGAATAATACAGGTAACACACCGCTTCATATAGCAGCAGCAATATGGGGATCTACAGTGTGTGTTGACGTGTTACTGAAGGCTGGAGCTGATGTTAATGGTAAAAAATAATACAGGTGACACACCACTTCATATAGCAGCAGGACGGGGATCTACAGAGTGTGTTGATGTGTTACTGAAGGCTAAAGGTGATGTTAATGTACAGAAAAATACAGGTAACACACCACTTCATAGAGCAGCATGAGTGAGATCTACTGAGTGTGTTAAGGGGTTACTGAAGGCTGGAGCTGATGTTAATGGTACAGAATAATACAGGTGACACTCCACTTCAGATAGCAGCAGAAGTGAGATCTACAGAGTGTGTGTTGATGTGTTACTGAAGGCTGGAGCTGATGTTAATGGTACAGAATAATACAGGTGACACACCACTTCATAGAACAGCCATGTGGGGATCTACAGAGTGTGTTGATGTGTTACTGAAGGCTGGAGCAAATATTTATATACAGAATAATACAGGTGACACACCACTTCATAGAGCAGCCATGTGGGAATCTACAGTGTGTGTTGATGTGTTACTGAAGTCTAGAGGTGATGTTAATGTACAGAATAATACAGGTGACACACCACTTCATAGAGCAGCCATGTGGGGATCTACAGAGTGTGTTGATGTGTTACTGAAGTCTAAAGGTGATGTTAATGTACAGTATAATACAGGTGACACACCACTTGATACAGCAGCAATATGGGGACCTACAGAGTGTGTTGATGTGTTACTGTAGGCTGGAGCTGATGTTAATGGCACAGAATAATACAGGTGACACACCACTTCATACAGCAGCAGCAATATGGGGATCTACAGAGTGTGTTGATGTGTTACTGAAGGCTGGAGCTGATGTTAATGGTACAGAATAATACAGGTGACACACCACTTCATAGAGCAGCAATATGGGGATCTACAGAGTGTGTTGATGTGTTACTGAAGGCTGGAGCTGATGTTAATGTACAGAATAATACAAGTGACACACTACTAGTAGTATATACAATGGGGGTACGAAATCACTTTCAACAAAAGCCTCTGCAAAGCCTTATTTCCCAAATAAGGCTTTTGTTCAGGCCCTTAGATATCGCCCCATTACCCCTACTATAAAAAAGTTTGAGACGCTAGCGGGATACGAACTCCCGGGTATACCTAACAGCCGCACCACTTAACTACCGGGGACTCAGCTGAAGTATCTCTGTTTAGCGGGTCTATCCTGGGATTTCATCATCGCTCCGTCTCCATGTGCCGCTATGTCACGTTGATCTCAATAAAACAGTTTAATGTGAATCGCCTATGATCTCTTTGGTGTTCGTAATAAAGGCTTGCCGGGCTTTTTGTACTACCTGTTCTATGTACTTTTTTTGCTCATCCTCGCTGATAGCTGACTTACGAGACTTGGATCGAATCTCTTGTTTCATTTTGTTATATTTTTCGAGTTCAGAGAGGATTGAACGAAACTCCTCCTCCGAGATCTTGTTTTCAGTAAGTACCGTGGAAATACGCTCACTTACTGTGTTAAGCTTTGCTTCTGCTAGAACCCTGATCTCGTCGTGTTTCAACGCCTTACGATGCAGTCTGCGTGATGCAAACTTAAGCGCCAACCCTAACACCCCTGCCACCCCAGCTGTTATTTCAATGCCTAGCACTACGGGGGTAGCCACGATGGTAGCTAACAACCCAACACCTGCCGCTCCTAGCCCCATGCTGGTTGCCATAAGGGCAGTATCAGTCCCATCCACGATATTGAAAGCTCTATGGTACTTCTTACATGGTGCTTTCCGCGTGTCGCGGTCTTGTTCTAGTTGGCGTTTTACATCACATAACTGTCTCAAACGGAACCCGTCTACAGTTTCCAGGGTCTTCGCTACTTCCTCTACGACTGGGTACAGACCCATCCTGTGTGCCTATAATATATCTTATTAGATATTTTTTAATTGGGCTTCAGGTAATAACCGATCAATGTTCTTGAGCCTTATAAGGCTTATATTCTCGTATGTGGAGATATCGGAAGGATCAATAGGTAAAAACTGAGATATATCAACATTCTGGTCGTCTATTAAGGGAGGCAGTAATCTCAGTGGATGGGCCCCCAATCGTATAACGATACGGCAACGTGTGTAGGTGTCTTTGGGGAAAGTTATTCTCACCCCACGTAAAAGTTCCAGGTTTGAACCATCAAACTCGCCCTTATAAGCAATTTCTATGATGAGTGTGGAGTCTGGGGCCATAGTCTTAAACCCTGCTATGGCATCGGATCTGCTGGCTGTGAACTGTGACCGCCCGGGTGAAACTAACATGTTGCCCGAGTAAAATGGTATTTTAGAAACTATAATTTCGTGAGTTGGAAGGAAAGACGTGAGGATGAAGCCATTGTTATTAATTTCGGAGACATAGCCATCTTTGTCTAATGAGATATAAGGTGCGGTGAGGGTTATGTTGATCAACCATTCGGGTTCTTTATAGTCTGCTAGGGGCACCCGCCTATACACATTGCCTTTCAAGTGTAGGACATATGAGCCACCTTCCCCACCAAGCTGATCGAATCCCTCTAGGTCCCTGAGTGTGATTTTTGGTAGATGATCGGCCATTGCTGCCCGCCTATACACGTTGTCTTTCAAGTGTAGGACGTATGAGCCTTCCTCACCAGGCTGATCGAATCCCTCCATGTCCCCTAGATTGTTAAGCGTGGCGTTGGGACGATGACTGGTCATTGCTATAATAATATTACGATATAGTTTCCAACTGGTTTTCTGATAATAGCTCAGGGGTTAATTTCACCCCCATGAAGTGTATGTTGTCGGGTAGGAAGATCTTGGTTAGTGATATTGTGTTTTCCACGATCACGGTCACTCCCTGCAGACTGGTGTTGGAGCCGACACCCACCCGTACGTAAACTGTGCAAACGTGATACTGGTGTTGTTTCGCCCACCCGAGTTTGATCCCCTTCACGATCTCGACATCACCCCGCGATGGTTCTCCTAGGTAGACTTTGATGATCAGTGTTGAGTTCACCGGTAGACTCTCCAGGATGGTGACCACGCCTTCGAATTCAGACACCAACTGCAATGTCACGTTTTGCATTCCCGGTTTACTCGATAGCATGTGGGCTGCCATACTGGCGACTGGGCTGATGATTACGCTACGTCTCTGAGTCGGGACGTAAGACACTAGCAGGGTTCCATTGTTCACGACTTTGTTTAGGTGGTTGTCTTTGTTATCCGTGAACACATAGGGGGAGCCGAGCCTAATATTGAGAAACCAGTCGTCTTTATCGGGTAACAACACCCACTTGTCATCTTCATTGAAGACGAGCGTATATTGCTTGTTTCGGGCGACAGTAGTGCTCTCAACATCGTCTAAGTCGAACAGTTTGCCCCCGAACGATGGGTATATTATCCGTTTATCATCACCGGTGTTGACTAGGGTGTACTTAGTGTTGACGACCGCTCTTGAGGTATCTACTATATCACCTAGGGCTCCACCGGAGGGGACTTCAACGCGTTTGTAAATGTTGTTTTTCAGTTGCAAGGCGTACAATTTACCATCTACTCCGGGAACGTCGAAACCACGTGTGTCCCCGAGGTCGGAGATCCCCACATTGATGCATTTTTTCAACCCGGGTCCTTGTGCGCTGGTCATTTTATGTGAAGCGTTATACTGAGGTATCCTATATTCACGGGATTATGATTTATATCTAACACCGATATCATCAGCTCATGGATGTTGCCCTGAGTCAACCTCTTATACTGCCGCGGTGAAAACGACTCGGTTCTACTGTCGTTGTATTTCTCCATTTTCACCGGCACTGCTCTCAGTATAGTGGAATGGTGACCCCCTTGAATGTTGTACGTTGTGCTCACCTGGCCGAGATGAATGTACAGCTCTCGGTACAGTACTAGGTCGGGTAACTTCATGCCTGTGACGGTAGTTGTTGGTTTTATCTCGTCAGGCGACATACCAAGTGTCCTCGCCAATGTCCGGCCGAGTCTCAAGGAGTTTCTTCCGTTGTTGATTAACACCACTGTGCCGTTTGAGTCGTTCATCTTGAGTTC